ATATATATTTAATTATAGAATATTTTATACACTCATACACACGCACACGTATACACACACACACACACACACACACACACACACATATATATATATTAATGTGATATATATATACGTATATATATATATATATATAAATATATATATACACACATACACACACACACACATATATATATATATATATATATACGAGCGTGTGTGATATACTATCTCACAAAAATCAATCAATACATATACGTAAGTTGGTTGATATATGTTGCCAGGTAACATAGTGTCCGATATATAACCACATATTTTCTTTGTTTTCACCTGGTTGAGATTCTTCAATGTTCGTTGATAATAAAATTACGTTTAAGAATTGTGGTGACCAGAATTATTGTCGACAGCGACAATACATACTGATTAATTTGCGTAATAAGTGAAAGCGTAAACCACCTCTAGTGACGCCTTTTGGTGTATGAGTGCCCCGTTTATTTGTTTTTTTTAGGAGGCTATGTCGTGTAGTTTGAGAGTATATCATTATGTATCCTCTAATAATTATACAGCAAACGCGACTAATAATTTCAATGTATTACACACATACATGCATAGCCTCCTAAAACAAACAAGGCTATGATACTGTACGTACATACATAACTACACATTAAAATATGTTTTTACCATGGCCCTCTGGATTGAGTCTCCGTGGAAAAGCTGCATATTCCTGGACAGGCTACTTATCTAGTAGAGACTTGCAGAGGGCCATGTATGTACTACCGAGATTTTCTCTGAGACTGAGCACCTTGGCGACGCATTTGATTTGACGAGGTGTCGGCAACTTCACATTTTTACTATATATTTTACAAAAATCAGACCAAGACAAAATAGTAAACATAAACTATAAAAAGGCAGTTGAAAATTGAAGACTTGAAGTGGCATGCTAGTCCATCTGGTCTCTGACAAATACAATGGAGAATTTACGCCAATGTCTCATCTGTAGCATATTCGCGCTAACACTGTGTTTATGTTTTCTTGTGTGTACAACGAAGTCTCCTGTGTTTCAAACCGAGTCCTTGTTCATAGAGAATGCAATACAGAAATTGGGTATCAGTGAGCCACCACAGACTATTAGGACAACTTCTCGCTGGGTTGACCGCTGTCGCGACTTCATTACTGACACAAAAGATGGATGTCTACACAAGAAAGGTTTTTGGGAGCACTATACAGTGGAAATTACAGGACCTCAGGACATGGCGGAGATGAACGCATCCTGTATCGCGGCTGCTACCATATTTCAGCATCAGATGTGCGACTTACCATGCGATCAGGCGATATACATGACCACTTGGGAGAGTGGGACTGGGAGTGGCACTCGGTGGCATACGTACATGAATGCAATAACGCGAACAGTCGGCACAGATACAATGGTGCGATTGTGGAGTACAAAACCATTTCAGTCGTATGTGACAAGCGAGTGTGCTAGTGGAGATGAATGGTGTTACTTTTCGGTTGCAGATGACTGCATTGATAGAGCTAGTCCCAATTCAGTGGCGAATACGACGAAGGAGAACTTGGTGACGTATACCTATGGAAAAAGTATGAAAACATTCACACCCGCACTAAGAGAGGGCTTAAACCGTAGCGAGATGTGGTTGCAATCCCAGGTCCTTTTCTTCATTCTGCAGCCAAAGCAGTTTATTCGTGACTGGGTGGACGAATTTTGGTCAGCCAACTCTACCACGCGTTTCTCAACAAACGATAATATTCATAAAGACACGCCTTATCTCATTATGCATGTGCGTTGGGGAGACAAGTGCGCGTGGTCAAGCGCCAAGCGCGGGCGGGAGTCTATATGTGTTCCCTTCCGGAAGTATATGGAGCAAGCAAACGCTTTCCGGGCGTTGAATCCGGAACTAAACCATATTATTCTATCATCTACCGACCCCAAGGCCATCAAAATGACCAGGCGGCACACCAACTGGACATTTAGCTGGATAGTAGCAGAACGCAAATTACTCAGTCAACAAAACCACATGATACCTGCGAAAGAGAAGCTCGGGGAGAAGCAAATGGTAGATATTAAGGCGTTAATGACGGAATTCTATTTGGCGGCGTACGCCGACTACGCTGTAGTCACGGCTTCCAGTGGATGGTCGAGAGCGTTTCTCCGCTGGTCAAGAGCTTTACGCGGACACATTATTCCAAATGCGTGCCTGGACGACTGGAATTGGGACGCTAGTATAGTTGGGCTAAATGATTCACGCCTCCCGGAAATACGGGATGCTTACAGAGAATCTTTGGGTACCGAAAGATATTGCTTTGCTCACCGAGAAAACTGCTCGGAAGTATTTAGTTAGTAAGTTAGAAGAAAGTATCGCTATGGATTCTGTACAACATGGGAGTCTAGAGCTCAACGCCACATTCTCCAGAGACCCAGGGATTCTATCACCGATAGATATGCGTCGGTTTCAAGGAGTTTTCCCCATGAGAGGATTCAATGAAACCGGTAGCGTGCAAAAAATCGAGCAAGGTTGCCGCAGATGCTGTATGAATCAAGCTACGACTCAGTCTTTCATTGTACCATCTCGAGCTGAAGATCCGGGGGTCAGCGTACGTTGAGATCAGTGATAACGGTAGCGCTGAATAGATCAACTATTGTAGATACCTTCGAAACTTATTCCAGACTCCAGATATGCTTTAGTTATCTTGCGTGCAACATGCACGTTCTGTGTTACCAGCGGTGTATCTTAAAGCCGCGAAGATAGTCAAGCACGTGCCAAAGCTAATGAATTGCACGCAGTGCTTGAGGTTATTCGACAAATCACACATGCGAGTGGAATGTTGGTACGCATATACAACATGCACGTCCCTACATCATTAGAAACATTTCTCTGCGGCTACTAAATATTACCACAGGTTCACCTCTGTATGTGCTGATTAATCCCCGACCAGATTACTGCGAGTAGGGCTACTGATCAGGGCGATACTTACACGGGATGGCGCTGTACGCACTGTAGCTGAGTTACTACTTGCCTTGGTTCTGTACAATCTCAGCATGTCATGCAAGAGGTCTTCAAAAATATCAAAACACCAGTCATAGCCTTATAATCAGTGATAAATCATTGCCAATCAATTCATCGCACGAGGTTAGTTGCAGGGTGAGTGAAGCAGTCACGACGCTTTTGGAGTGTATAGAGTAGACGATACAAATGATGACGAATACTCTGCAAGCATTAGTTTACAGAGTTCACAAGTTCCAGAGAACGTATAGTTCGACAGCTCCGCTTTCTTACAACCCCAGACGTCTCTACCATGTTTGATACGCACATGTAATATTTTATGCGTCGAATAACGTAATCGGATCTTCAGGAGTATATGCATAAATAACGAAACACAACTGAGTTTTTGAATGTAATCTTTAAGTGTGGCTACAGCTCAAATCATCAAACTATTCGCAGCGTCTGAACAGAAGCCAGAACTCTACTTCACAGATGCGTCCCCACAGACTAGTAGGTCATATCACCATACTCTCCCGTATCTGTAGAATCTCTACAGTCTTATACATCATATACTGAATTGGCCTTGTCTAACGATTAGTTCAATGTAGTCACAGAATCGTCTCCCGGCTATACCGATACCAAATCAGTCAAAATACCCTTAGGTGGTTCGCCCACCAAAATCACTAGTGCACTGACAGGAAGCTTAACTGAAGTCTCCGCGCGCTCCATGATCAGCAAGCTAGATTTTTTTTCCTAGTGAGCACAACTACATACTCAGCTGTGATCATTCTTGCTTATTCGTCAAGAGTACTTACCAACATCATAGTGCAATGTATTCTCATATCATGTGCTGCCCCGCAGGAAAGACCTTCGTCATATGGCCATGATAGGTGACTATGGTTCCTTCTGGCTACTTTCTAATAGGGGTTCACAGGACCTTCGTACCTTCAACTGTAGTGTATCACTGTGCCGTCTTTGCCACGACTTTCGAGTATGGCATATTCCAGATGCATTCCGAGAATTTTAAAATTCAGTTAAAAACCATAACCACAGCTACGGCGAAGTTTCTTTGCTTTCGGTCAAACACCATCACTATAGTGTTTTCTGGTGGTGCAGACACTATGCTCAACTGCGAGGTGTACCTACTCAAATACCCGATAGAGTCGCAGAAGCATTGCTGCATATATTTGGCACCGGATCGTTAAAAGATATCACCTCATTTTAGGACACATAGACACCCTTCCTCTGCCCACCAGCCTAACGCTCTCATATGAAATTGATTTTTATACTTCTATGCATTGCGCAATACGCTCCCACATTGAACAACTCATATTCCCTGCCGGCCCTGGACTCACCAACCATCACACCCGGTGATTTCTCGAATAGCATGTCCACTCATCTCACCACTCCATCCACTACTCTTTACCAGTCCATCGCTGTTGCTATGTGCTACATGTCGTGGCTAAATGCGACTGCGATGATATCCGAGCATTCTCACCGTCCGCACATCTGTATCAATGTGCTCACATCTTGCGACTGGACTCTTTTCCGGTACCTTACATGCGATGTTGCCAGTGCCACTGTCGTGGCTATTAGTGTGCCTGATCTTGTAGTTACCAGAGGCGGTGTTGTTGGGAAATTTTGCCGTCCTCCACAATCAAGAGTCGTCAGAAAGGGACGACAGATAGAGAGATCTAGCAGGGAAGAATAACTAGGTCACAGACCTTTTTTTTCCTCTCACAGCAGAGATCGATTTCAAGGGAATGATATCTCACCACCACTCATCCGTCACACAACCAATATTAGACCCAGCTCAACTACTATTAGTCCGTGACATCTCCCCAATTGGCGTATTTTTCATGCGGCGGCGAGTCTCTCCTGTCCTGTCTGTCCCCATCACTTTGCCCATCTCTCGTTGATTGATTTCCCCCTTTTGCGTATCTCGATTGGTCCTCTCTTCCTCGATACTCGTGTTTCGCTTCGTAATCCCGATTGTCTCGTTTTGTCTCGTAATTCCTTTGATATCGGGGTTCCTTTGCCGCAGCACTGCCTCTGCCCTTGTTCATGCCCACCACTCTCTCCTGATACACACTGCCTCCCCAATCTCCATCGCCCGTGTCCTTGTCTTGCCGCCTCTGCCCAATCTCGTCTCTATTCTCATCTATGGACCAGTCCCTTGAATTCTCTCTATACACCTTTCTACCCCAATCATCCTCTCCATCCTCATCACTCTTATCACTCTCTCTAGCATCCCTATAGGCTGCTTCTCTGCGAGTATTCACTTCCCTGTCATTCGCATCTCGCCTATCCTCATACAGCCCCTCTGATCTGTCACGTGTACTATCATCGAACGTTTTTTCGTGCCTATCTCTGCCATCTTCATCCTCCCGAGTTTCGTGCGCTGATGAGCGCTTACTGCTACTGTCTGTGTGCCTGCCATCACCTTCTCCCTCTCGATACTCAACGTCATCGCCGGAATACTCATTGCGTGTGTGATCGGGCGATGGTGTCCTGGTATCTTTCTCACGGAAGCTCTGCATTTCTTCAATGTGCAACGGACGTTGACGCGACTCTCGCGGAGGCAATCGCACACCTCCAGCTCTGAGACGGCGTGTGGTAAAGGGATCCGGAACGACAGGTGTGAGTTTTCATACAGATTTAACTCAACAGCCATTGCGAAATGATAAGCGATGAAGGCATATCTATTCTAAGGAGGTAGATGGCTAAGAAATTTGGTACTCTGAGACAACTCTTACAGATTTAATGTATTTGTTTCAGTACCTCCCCGACTATATATGCGTGCCGCAACAATCTAATAATACTGAGCAAATATTCGTTCTGTCCACAAACATTTATCGACCCGTAAATCAACCACATACTCCTGAAATGAACTGCCTTGATAATAGTATGGACAAAGTGCGACATGTCCTTACCTGACACCTTCGCGGTTGTCGCTTGTTTTTTCCTTGTCCCACGCACGGCGCCACACAGTCTCCCCGTTGTCGGTCAGAGTCATCGCCCGTTGAACTCTGGAAGAGTTTGAGATGAGGTAGTTACAGTTGTGTGTACGTACTGGGAAAGCTCATTATAGTGTGCGAGTATGTAACTATCGCATTACAAACGTATAAAAGGCGTTGCTCGCGTATGACTGCCTGGATTTTTATACTAGCCGAACCTTTAACATATCAGCAGAACAAGAATCAAGAATACGTTTAAGTATGTATGAATGTGCCCAACCCTCAATAGGGATACAGGAGCCTCAAAAAAATCACAACTACACGAGTACACAAGCGTGTATCTTTACACGGGTCTTTCGCACATGAATGTAGCCCCGAGTTACATACAGCAACTATGAAACGAAGTCTTATACGCATAATAAAAGTGGCAGAACCCATAAGCGAGTGCATTCTTGCATGCGACGAGGGTATTAGATAGGGTTAGTGTAGAACTGAAATCGAAACAATAGGCATATCTAATCTATGACCATGTGGCTGAAAGAGGGTACTCGTTAGGGTTAGCGTAGAATTGCAATTGAAACAGTAGGCATATCTTATCTATGACCATGTGGCTAAAACAAATTTCTAGACAGATCCTACCCGTGGATAGGATGCAATTCAAGCCACGGATAGGATCGCATTTAAACACTTTAGCCTCAAGTCGCAGACAGAATCAGTCCAAATCACCTCTGCGTATTTTAGACGCATTTGCAATAACAGACTATGCAAAAGGAAACTCGTATTCCTCACGCACTTCCGATAACGGCAAAGACGCAAGCGAATTACATAGTAAGTAGCCCATGCAATACCACACTTGCAAAACTTAAACTCCATAATCCCACGTGAATAAAAAAACCCACAAATTCACATAATTGACGCACCCACTAACCAACCTAATCTCACTAAGCCACACACACAGGCAAACTACAACGACACCCAGGTGTACTCACTCACTCGCACGCTAACAACCACATAACATTGAACTCCCCACTCACCGGCTCTCATCCACCAGCCGACGCTCCTCTCTCCAGCGATTCTCCTCGGCCGCTCGCTTTCCCGCTTCTTCGCGCCTGCTCTTCGCGCTCAACTGACTCTCCCGGCCACCCCTGCCACCCCTATCATCCTCCCCTCTACGCCTACGGCCCCTGTATCGATCATCCATTCCTCTGTCGCCATCACGGTTGTCTCTATGATAGCTATCTCTATCATCATTGTAGTGTCTGTTGTTCTGGTTGCCATGGCTACCTCGGCGGCTCTCGCCCCATCCTCGAGAAGAATCTTCGCCCCAGCCGAAATCGTTACCCTTGGTGTGTGCGCGTTCTTTATCCAGCCGTCGTTGCTGTTTGTTATTGGATCAAGTTTTTGGTACGGGTGTCCGATTGGTTACGGTGTTTGTTTGGTACGGCTTTAAATTTAAGTTAAAGTGTCGCGAGTGAGATTTTGCACACAGAGGCTATAGTAAGATTCGTATATGTACCAGAACACCGTTCCTTCAGCAACACGCATACATGCCCGCAGGGTACATCTCCAATCTCCACATGTATATATACGTCACCTGGAGTAAATACACAAGCATTCGTGTTCACACGGGCATGTATTGAAACTTATGCTGAACGAAAATGTGACGTTCATTTGCATTCTTTCTTTTAGTAAAAGGTTACCGCCGAAAATTTTACATTTGCAGTTTTTCAAGGTTACGCCGCTAATCGCGTGTGCTTGGCTCTGCGCACCTTTTCCAAGCAATTTCACAACTTGATACATTTCTTTACACGCATGGCTTTTTTTGATAAAGCGAATGAGTGCTGAAAGATCGATAATCTTATATTGAAAACGAATTCCCGATTTATGACCTTACAAAAAATAGACAATGAAGCATACAGTATAATTTTACAACTACCCGTAACCACAAAACGTACAGTACAATACTACAACTATCCACAACACACCTCCTGAGCCAATCGTTCGCTAGCAGCCTTCTCCCGCTCCAACGCTCTCTCTTTGTCCTGCGCGATCTCAGCCAGCCTTAGCTTCTCCTGCTTGTTCCGCAGTCTAATTTCCTCAATCTTCGCATCCAGTCTTGCTTTCTCAGCCGAAGACTCCACGCGAGGCCCATGCACTTCTATAGGAGGGTCGTGTCTGCGTTTGTTTTCACCACGCCTACTAGCCTGAGTATATCGATCCCTATCACTCCCAGAGGCGTGTCCTCCGGAATGAGGTGCATCCCGTGCATTGCTGTTATTCCCGTAGCCGCGACTAACACCTGAAGTATGGGGATGTTGATATGTGTGCGTATGTCAGCGAAGAGCAAACTAGTACGGACACAAAGTTAGATATTTTAAATTGGTCAAGCCACGGGTAAAAAAATCAACGAGACATATACACGCACAGCTATACACTTAAAGCTACAACGACATATATACCCTTTGACACACATACACATACATTTAACACTAAGTATATATTTATTACCCTATCGTTGAATCAAGAAACAAAAAATACATACAGACACACACACACATAAATGATACGTAAAAATATACATAGAAACACATACTTACATACATACGTACATACATACAAACAAACACCAACACCGACACACACACACATATAATATATATATATATATATAAATATATATATATACATAAATAAATACATACACACATATACATATATAAATAGACACACTCACACACACACACACACACACACAAATATATTTATATATGTACAAGCAGAAATACACACAGAGACAAACATACACATACACACATATATATATACAGACACAGACACAGACCCAGACACAGACATGTATATATATATAGACAGACATACATACATATTCTATACGAGCATATATATATATATGTATATATATACTATACGAGCATATATATATATATACATATACATATACATATAATAAAGAATTGAATTAGAAATGAATATATACACACACACACACACACACATTCACACACACACACACACACACACACACACACACACACACACACACACACACACACAATATATATATATATATATATAGATATATATATATATATATATATATATATAATAAACTTGTATCTGTACACAGGCTTTTTCGTGTAAGACTGCAGATGAACTATTTCTCACAATATGTACCACAGCTCCCCTCAGAAAACACAGTACACTAGAGGCATTCTGCCCTCCTTAAACAAGTATACATACCTTGCGGTCCTCGGCCATGGAAGTTGGCTGCACCACCCGACCGCCGACTGTAAGTGTCGCGCTCATCCATCATCCTATCTCTATCTCTATCTCCTTCTCTGTGTGTGTCCCTGCCCGAGTCAGACCTCCGACTGTAACCGTCCCGGTCGTCCCTGTACGTATCTCTATTGGGCTCTCTGTCTCCACCATCCCTATTATTTTCCCTCTCCCTGCCATTCTTCCGATCTTTTTCCTTGCCTGCCTTCGGCTGTTTGCTATTCTTCGCACCCTTGCCCCGTTTAGCCTTTTCCCTCTCCGCTTGTACATGGGCTTTGGTCTGTGCCTCTGCTTCTGCGTGTGCCTGTACTTCCTTCTCCTTGCGTACCTGCGCTTCGTCTCTCTCTACGTCATTTTCCACCACCCTTCCCATTGTCTCCAAATCATCTGCAACTTCCGTACTTTCTAACTGAATTTGCCTGATACCCTCTTCAATGCTCTCTATGGTCTGCGCTACCTCGCCACCTTCAGCGCTCTCCTTTGCACCATCGGAAGATAGTACCTCTGGGTCACCCCCCCCGGACATGTCCCGTTTTGTACCCACAGTACCTTCCTGTTCACTATCGTTCTTTTTCTCAACAGTCTCGTCCGCACCCGCTTTTTCGTCCACTATCTCTCTATCAATGGTTCTTTCTCTCGCTTCTGATACATTACCCTCGCATTCGCGGGTCGTTTGAGTAGAACTAGTGTTTGCCCCATTCATTTCCATATCAGAAACAACATGAGTGTCCGGTACCTGATTCTTCGCATCTTCACTTTCGCGGACGATTTCTGCAGCAACCCGCTCAGGCTGAGATGTTTCGCCACTCTTGACGTTCAGTCTCTCCTCCGCTGTTTCCACCGTAGCTGTGATGCTATCGCCCTCAGCACTCTTCGTCAGTTTGCCGTGTTCATTCCCCATCTCGTGTATTTCTGTGTGTTCCAAGTGTTTCTCTGCTTCCATACTATAGTCTGAAGACGCCATTTGTATTCCTTTCACTTAAGTGTTGAATTCTAATTACAAGGGAGTGCGCACCAAGCATATGGATGCCCCTATGAAGTTTGTACACTCTTCAAAATACCTAAGCGTATGGCCTAATTCTAATACTATCGAATACAACGCCACTCTGTAGTCTGGGCAAGTAACTCGTCAGAGTTGTTACGTATTCTCTCAGTCACTATGGATATTTAGTATAAATAGAGCATTCGTGCATTGAAACTCTCTCGATTGTCACTGCTTTTAGCATTCATTTACAAAATTATTGCATCTGAAGACTGAGAGACTTGAGAGACTGGCCACGGCTCGGTAGACGGTGAGTCGGTGACGAGAGTGGTGAATAAATATTTTTAGTGGTTACTGGTTACTACAGCAGCAGTTTGCAGTGTTGCACTGATGCACTACGGCCTCGGCCCTCGGGGCTTTTTAGAATCGATGATAAATACAAAGTTACAAAGCGCACACAGTTTTTTTAGTTTTTATTTGTAAAAATCACAATGCAATAACAGAGTGTCAGTCTGTCAACACACAAGAAGAGAGACTCACAGTCCACAAGAGTCTCACAGGCTAGTCACAGGTTCACAGGCTAGTCACAGGCTCATAGGCTAGTCACAGGCCCACAGGCTAATCACAGGCTCACAGGCTAGTCACAGGCTCACAGGCTCACAGGCTCACAGGCCCGATACGGCTCGACGTAGGTCCCTACGAGGTCCACGACGGGCCTTACGTACGTACGGTCGTAGTCACGCGGCTCGTACGTACGGACGTCACGT